TGCTGTGCTGGGCATGATTATTTAAAATATATACCTGGCTCTGTTGTTTTCGGCATTAGAAGAGTAGGCCACTTAACTTCATATATATGTTTTAGTCTCTGCAGTTTTTTAGAAAATATATCTGGAGAAAACTCATCTTTCTTCACAGAACTCAGAAACACAGGCTGGAAAACGACTTGCTGTAGATCACACAGTGGAATATTTTTATATTCTTGCCCAATGTTCTAAAAAGATGAGCTCATAGGCTTTATAGCAGAGTTGAGCATAATAACAGGCCAGATGACAAAAAAGTAAATAAAATCCTTTATTAGGATCAACAAAGGTTCACAATGTAGGATGTGGGCTTTTGAGTTGCACACAGAATTCTCCCTTAGGCTGTATACTAAAAAAATAAAATAAAATAAGAGGGCAAAATGGGCATTTCTGGAAAAGGATGTGATACTAAGCCTACTCTACAGTTTTATTTCAGTTTGAAGAAGGTGATGGAAGAAACAGGCTAATTTAAACCTCTCTTTTGTGAATATGGTGTACAAGTGTCCTACTTCACAAAGTCCTCTGTTCAAAGGTTTAAACAGAGGACTTTGTGAAGTAGGACACTTGTACACCATATTCACAAAAGAGAGGTTTAACTTAGCCATTTTTAAGTTAAGAGAACCATAAGAAGGGACATATTATTGACACATTGGGAAAGGATCATAGCTCACTGGTACAGCATCTGCTTTACATGCAGAAACACCTAGATTCAACCCTCAGCATTTCCAAGTAGTGCTAGGAATGTTTCCTGCCTGAAATCCCAGGAAGCTGCTGCCAGTCAACACGGAGAATACTGAACTAGGTAGATCAGTGGTCTGACTTGTGACAAGGCATCTTCATTCCTATATTGAGAACAGGGGCCTTGAAGCTGCTCATTGGAAGCTACCACCTAGACAACAAACTGAATAGGTACATTGACTATTTGGTCAGAGTCTTTCCCACTGTGGTGAGATGTATTGTATTATTTAAAATTGTACTTATTCATATAGATCAGCTTGTGCAGACTGTGTGCAATCTGTGCCTTCTTTTTGATTATGCACTTGCTTCAATTTTTGGTGGTGTGCATGTGTCCAACATATTTGTGCAACATATCCAATATACATCTTCTATACATCTTCTCATCTACCCAGAAGTCTTGCTGCTAGGTCTCCATCATGCACCATCCAACCTGGCAAAGCACTTTGCTTCACTGAGATACTCCCAGAGGGATCTTGTATAAGCAGAGTGGTTAGTGTGTGTGCATAAAATTCAATGGAGGGAAGAAATCCCTGCATCTACTCACAGCTCTCAATTACCTCTTCGGGGCTCAAAGTCACTTGGGATCTTTGCCATGTGGCTAACCAATGGCAAAAATTCAGCCTTAATTTCCTGTTAAATTGATGGATTCCCCAAACCTTGGCAAATGCTATATATGGCTTAATTGGGCCATGTTAGATTCAACTCATTAAACCAATGCTCTCTGCAAAGCAGTGGGCTTTTTCTCTCTCCCCAGAATCACAAATGCTTTGCTTTTTCTTCCACTCCAAGCCTGTGGTGCAACATTATGAATAGTCATGAGCCATTACTAAGCACAGATTTTTCACCTAGTTTGTTTGCAGATAAATGGCAGATTAAGCTTGGATATATGGGGAGCTACATTTGCTGAACAGTGAGTGCATCTAATGTGGACAAAGAACATGTTTGTGTGTGTGTGTGCAATTTGAATACTGACAGAGCTTTCAAAGTGCAGCTGGCATCACGTAGAAAAATAGCACATTGTAAGTGAAGCTTCTCAAAATAACACACACACACACACACACACACACACACACACAAACACCCCTCTATCCATACCAGCCTCTGTGCACAGAATTACAGTCACATGCATCAGTGTTATTTTAATGTTAGAATCTGACTGTTATTTTTAAAGTACATATTATCCCATATGTGTACTAAGATACAGAAGATAAAGTGAGACATTCAAAGACAATAACGGTGTTTGGGGGATTATGACTTTGGGAAAGGGTGGTAGCTTGGTAATAAGAGCATAGCCTTTGTTGACCTACAGAGTGCGCCAGGTTCAATCCCTGCTCCCAGGCATCTTCAGGTAGCGCTGGCAAGGATTCATGCCTAGAGAGCCACTGCAGAGTGAACAAAACCATTGATCCAACCAGGTGTGAGGCAGTTTTCTATCTTTGTTTACTTGTTTATGGAAATATTTATATACTCTTATTTCTTTTTAAAAATACATATCAGGGTGGTTTACAGCTATCACACACCAAGCCATACAGGTGCTTAAAACTGAATATTAAATCCTATTATTCAGTATCAAAGCACTTCAGCAGTGTACTCAGTTGCTACACATCCCCCTTCAGAGCTGTTACCCCAACAAATGTAGGTTCTTGCCATTTACTAATGAAGTATAGCCCCACCCATTCTGCCCGGTCAGACTGGCCAGAATTCAAATAAGTAGATGGCGGGAAAGCCTGCCAATCCCAAGCACCTGGCCTGGGAATTCTCCAAGGGCTGACTGCCTGGTCCCAGCATTGCTCCCTGGGGATAGGAGCCCATGGCAATTGGCCACAACAGCTACCCACCCTGTGACCAGGGAAGCAGCCATTACCCCAAGAACTGTAGCTTCTCAACCTTTACTAATGAAGTGTAGCCACTCATATCGTAGTCTTATTACTGAGCATCAACATGCAGAGCTCAGTGGAATATCTCTGAGGTGAACTTGCCTGGAGGCAGAGTCAGCATTCCAAGTTAGGGCCAGTCCTTAGGGCCAGGAGAACAGCAATCCGTGTGGTCAGATGGTCCAGGGTCAGGGAATCTGATGACCATGGGGTTAAGGGTCAAGGAAGGCAGGAAGCAGCAGAGTAGGGCCAGGAACTACAAGTGTTGTTACCAGCATCTGACTGCAGCTGAGAGCTCTGCTTAAGAAGGCTGAAGCCAACTGGTTCTCACCAGTGCCTTCTCCTCTGTGTCCTTGAAAGCTGATCAGCTGCAGCTGGAGTCACTCTGCCTTCTTTCCCTTCAGGCTGCTGTTAAGCAGGTGAAGCTGACTCCTGGCCCATAACAGGCACCAAATGTCATATTTGAGAATGTGGAGCACTGTGTTAACCACAGCATTGGCCTTGCTGGCTGCCCGACCAAGATTTGTTACAATTCAGAGGTTAGGCAGGTTAAATAAGGATGAAGACATATAACTCTATAGTAACATGTTGAGTATACCCTCTGGTGGGTGTGCTGAGGCTCAGACTTCCTTCCAATCTTGGAACTGCAGTGATGGGCAAGAGCTATGATTGGCCGCTGTGAGAACAGGATGATGCACTAGATGGGCCATTGACCTGATCCATGAGGCTCTACTTATGTTAAAAAGGAACTAATTTGAGTTCACATTTGTCCCTTTATAAAACAAACTGTTCAGTTCACAGATCAATTCAAGATGATCAATCCAGATGATCTTCAGGAAAAACAACCACCCAGCATTCAGAATGGTACAATTGGCTGATGGATAAACTATACTGGAGACTAAGAAGACACTGAAACACACACAAACACAGCTGAATGTGAATTCTTTAATTTATATTCCCAGCCCTTGTGATCTTTAAGCTTGAACACTAATGTGAACAAAAATCATTTAAAAGTTCTATCTAAAAATGAATTTAACTCATACTCAGTTCGCCTGGTAGTTATAGTTCAGATATTTTTGAACTAATTCAGTGAACTTCATTAAAATGAACTAGTCCATCCCAAGCACTGGTTAATATAATGCTCCACTTCTGTGGATCTATAAAGGATTTCATACAATTGTCCTAGCAAATGTAGAACACTGCAAAGTATCATACAAAGACATCTAGGTGTTTTTCCTAGTGCAAGCCTTCAGGCTATTTTGGTTCAAAATGTATATCTGACCATTGCAGCAGACCCTTTATGGATCTGACAGCTTAATGGCCTCATCTTTGGCTGTATAGCTGAGAAATTTTAACAAGATGCCTTGGGCAGGCACTAGGGTGTGACCTTGCCGCTACACAGTAGTGTGCCTGCTCTACTTTAGCAGGGATATGCCCTGGGATTTCTGGTAAAACTTTCAATTGTTGGACAAAGTCAGTGGATATCCTTCCTTCACAGCCCTTTCCCACTTCCACGCTGAGGTTATTTCTATGCGAGTTGATTTCCAGGTGTGCATCCTAGTCCTTTTCTGAAGTTCTTCCTTAAGACCTTGCAGCTTATTACCCAAAGCAATCTCTGCATCCTAGGCATCCAACATCCATTGTTTCACAGTGGTAACTCCCATGGTTAGGTTTGCAATTGAGGCCTTAATTCCTGTTATTTCAGATCACACTGCTATGATTTTTATTCATTTGTCTTGTCTTGCATTGTCTGAGTTTTTCTTAGCTGCTGCCACGGCTCAGATGTAAGAAAGGAGCTCAACAGTTCTTCACTATCCCAAGACCCATCTGCCATTTTCCCCACTCTAACGGTCTGTGTTATGGTTGAGGCGGATTTCTGCCTTTTGAGCTGAGAGGCATTCAGAGAACCAAAGATGGTTGCTCTGATGGGGGAGTACTTCACTGTGGGAACTAGGGAGGTTGCAATTTGGGTGAATACAGGTGGTGTAGGGCTGGAGATTCAATGAGACATGGCTACTATCTTCAAGCTCCTATCAGAAGCTTGGCTTATTCCATGTGTGACCATTTAAAGATTTATATAGCTTTGACCTACCCTATCTTCTTCTCCTTATTTCCCATTAATGATCTAACTGCAAACCATCACTACTGTACAGTCCTCAGTCACCCTAAGAGTACTGTGCTCTGATAAACAACAGCCATTTTTTCTTTCTGCTCCATATGCCTGTTTAGCCTTCTTTCATGAGAACACAGAAAGCTGTCTTATGCCAGTTCAGACCAATGGTCCATCTAGCTCAGCACTATTGACACTCACAGGAAGCAGCTCTCTGAGGCTTCAGACAGGGGACATTTCCTACCTGGAGATGCCAAGGATTGAACCAAGGACCTTCTGCATGCAAAGCAGATGCTCAACCATTGAGTTACATCCTCCCACCAAAAAACATAGGAATACTGAGTTAGACTAGTCCATCCAACTCAGTACTGTCTGCATCTATGCCATTATTGTCCATATTTACTGACAGTAGCTCTCCAGGGTTTCAGGCAGGGTTCTCTCCCTACCTGGAGATGCCAGGGAATGAACTTGTGTCATGGACTGGCTGGATGCAGAGGACTGGTGGAGGCACCAGCCAGGGAACCCTCAGAAGAGGAATGCTCCAAGACAGGGAACTGGTGGTGGGATGGTGATGATGAGTGGTCAGAGGAAGAAGGAGCAGACTGGGAGGAGGAGGTGTCAGCAACAGGAGAGGTGATAGGGTTTAGTGAGCAGGAAGAAGCTATGGCAGAGAGCAGTTCAGACTCTGAGGCTGAAGTGGAGGTTGGAGGGGAGGGCAGCCAAGAGGCAGAGTGGAGGTAGGCTACTGAAGAATCCAGGGCATCTCCCTTCCTGCTGTGACTGGCTCCCCTCCCCCCTTTGTCTCCTATAATTTGCAGAGAAATGAAACAAGCAGAGACTAGGGTAGTTGTGCGCAGACACAGCCTGAGGCTGTATGGGAAAAACCCTGGAGAGGAGTTGTCCAAGTGGGCACTGGGAAGGAGGGAACCTGAAGTCCTCGCAACTGCTTATCGGAGCAAGACCTCCTAGAAAGAGTTGCTGAGGCCACTAGACCAGAGCTGTGGCTTGTTTTCTTGAATAAAAATTTAACTGCACTGACCTTGGGCAATGTATTGTTTTTGTTGCTGACCTATGCCTGACTCCAGCTCTGTCAATATAGGACCTTCTGCATGCAAAGCAGGTGCTCTACCAATGAGTTATGTCTCAATAGATCCTCAATGACTACCACCCCAAAAAAACTTAACTCCCTGAACCCACATCTCATTCCTAAACGGGGGAGCATGGGGGGGGAGGAGTCTTGAGAAAATGTAACTGAATTTCCTTCCTTCCATTCTTTATTACTCTTACCTGTTCCTTTGCTTCCCCACCCAGCACCAGTCCTGTAGTCAAAATTTAGAGTGCACAAGCAACTCTGGGCAGGATCTGATTCACTTATTTTACACTGCAGAGCATCACAAACACTGAAAGCATAATAACAGTACCAACAATTTTGAAGCTAATAAGCGAAAAATCTTGGGCCTCTGCACTGACTAGAGTTATCATGCAAGCAATCAGGCTCTGGAGTGTTGTACCTACTAGAGTAATATAAAGGCACAGGGTGGGGTAGGGGAAAACTAATCTTGGAAATGTCAAGTGTTACTTCAGGGAATCCCCTCCACGGCATGTGAAATATTGATTAAGCTGCAACTAAAGTGACTTGCAGTGCTATTTGTTTATAATATTTTTAATAGAGCTTCCTGTTCTTAAAGTACCGTGCATCGTTTGTCCTTCCATACATGCGCCCTTCTATAAATAGCTACTTATCACCAGACAAAACAATTTGCTGAGGATGTAGCCAGACCGGAATCTAAAGAGTTGACAGGCAGCTTAGCCAAAAGGAATTAATGCTTTGCTGTTCATGATATGGGCCAAAGGTGAGAGGGAAAATAGGGCAAGCAGTTATTTCAATAGCTCAGCAGTACTTTGCACACAGAAGACAACACACTCAATACCTGGCATTAGGTGGCGTGAACAGAAATGGTATCTGTTTAACATCATGCATAGCAGCTGAAAGTCAACATATTCAGCAATGGGGTTAGGGGCAGCCAAAATGTTGGATGACAGCTTCAATCTGTCCCAGCATGACCAATGGTCCAGGAATGAAGGGAGTTGCAGTCCAACAACATCTGGAAGGAACCATGTGGGCTGCCCCTCAATGAAGGACAGTGTTTTGATTCAGTGTAATACAATATCATTTACTTATTGGTAGTAGGAAGTGAGGGGCAGGTGGGGCTTGTCAACATGGGAAGGTAGCCCATCTAGAGGAAGCAAAACTGAATTCAAACTTCCTCTGTCTTGCAGGATATCTTCGGGAGAAGAAAAGGCTAAGGAGTAAACCCTAAATCTGGAGAGGAGTCCTGGAAACGGTTGGATGGTGCCTTGTACTCCTTCCAGAAACTCCTGTAGCTGAGCTGCTGACAAGCTCTGCTTTCCTTTGGACTACAGAGTGGCTGGGACAACCCATTCAGATGGGTGGGGTACAAATAAAAGATTGTTGTTGTTGTTGTTGTTGTTGTTGTTACATCAGCAAGTCTTGTCATCTGGGCAGATCGTATAAATCTTTCACCTTTTTACTAACAAAAATATAATATAAAACTTTAAGATTCTTGGTTTAAAAAAGAGAGTTAAGAACAAGTAAGTAAAGGCATTAAAAAGGTGGATAAAAATCAACAATAGTTAAGAAGCGATAAATCACCAGAAAGTACAGTGAAGGCACCTGCTTGATGCCAATAGGCAGAGTGTTCCGAAGAGTAGATGCTGCCACACTAAAAGATGGGTTTTGCACAAGTGAGGAATGGGTGCTGTGTGGCACCTATAACCGTGTCAGTTCCACAGATTGAAATGGCTGAAAGTGGGCATATATGAGGTAAGGTGATCCCGCAAGTAAATGTTAGGGAGGCAAGGTCCTTTTAAGCCTCCACAGAGCACATTCTCCAAAAGACAACACACCCATCAGCTGCTTTGCAACAAGGAAAATGTGCCTGTAGCATTACTTATTTCTGTGAAAGCTCACCACCCTCCTAGTCTGCCACCCACATATAATTCATGGTTCCCATGGGTCTCAAACAGAAACAGTAATATATGGAGTAATGATACACAAATTGAGGGTTTTTCTCCGCTCATTCTACACATTTACAAGATTTGTTCTTTTATAAATTTTGCATTTGATACCAGAATTAATGTCAACAAAAGCCAAGTGCTGTCACCAAGATTTCTGCCCGGTTCTGTTTTGTTTCTGCCCTCCACTTCAAAGGAATGAAAAGGGAAAGAAGAAAGAAGAAATGTTGGCAGAATGTTAATCTCTAGCAGCAAAGGGTAAGGAGAATAAAACATGCAAAACATGTTAGCCTGCTGCAAGGGAGCTGACACCATTTACAAGTGAAATGAGTCTTTGGGTTTAGTGGATTGTGTTACAGAGCCAAAGTGCCATTCCATTATTGCAGAGATTGAAGCTCTGAACAAAACTGTTGGAGATCGATCATCATTTTCTGGCAAAAAGTTGCTGCAAAATCAGGTTGGGTGAACACACAATAATGTGATATAAAATAGAAAGCGCAGCTGAAATAATTACTTTGGAACCATTTAGGTTTTCTTCCATTTAGGAAAAGAAAATGATAATGTCCACTAAAGGCAGCCGTTTGTCCTTCCAGGTTCTGCCAATCTGTGAAACAACATAAGATTAAAAAAACAAAAACAAACACAATACAGTAGGGCAGCAATCCTACACCTGGCAATAAATCCAGTTGAGTTCAATGGGACTTAATTCTGAGAAGATAAAGGATTGCGCTGTTAGTGCAAAGATAGAGAACCTGCGGCCCTCCAGATGTTATGGGATGACAACTCCCATCACCCCCGGCCATTGGGCATGCTAGCTGGGGCTGATGGGGATTGGAGCCCAACCACACCACTTTTGTGCCTTTGCTCTGCTCCAACTACCATGCCAATTAAAGAAAAAAAGGGGAAAGTGTGTTCTGGAGGGTGAGGACCAGTGGGAACAGCAGCAGGAGGAGTGGGTAAGTGAGGTGGGGTGTCGCTGAGCACCTGGCTTCCTAGTAGTGGCATCACTGCAACTTACCAGGAGAGGGAGGCAACAGAGACGTTGCCAGTGAGTGGGTGGAGTCAATTTTGCGCTCCCTCCAGCGCACCTGCAAAGTGCTGATGCCACTGCACCCCTCTCCGTCCAAATAAAGTAGCTGCAATGCTGTTCCTGGGAGGTCAAGTGTGCATCAACACCCCTCTCTGATGGCCAGTCATGGGCAGCACAGATAGGTGGGGGAAGCTGAGTGTTCTTCTTCAGCTCAGATTTTGATCCAAGACAGAAAATAATTTAGGGGCTTTAAAAGCTTGCCTCTTGTTTGTGAATGTTTTTCCACAAAATCATAGAATTGTAGAGTTAGAAGGGAGGATAATCTAGTCTAAACCCCTGTGATGCAGGAATATGCAGCTGTCCCTGCAACCCTGGCATTATCAGCACCTGAGAGCCAAAAGTGCATTTCCAAGCTAGAATCAGAACAACTTCACAAACATCTCTAGTAATTATGGGGATTTTTAAAAGGCAAACCAAGGCAGTATTGTGTGTGTTTTTTGGAGGGGAGGTTCTCTAGCATGAGCATCAGTTGTTCCACAAGCACAATGAGTTGGTAGGATTCAACTGCCTGTGCTTGTAGCACAGCAACTCAAGAACTGGCTGTAATAACACAGTTATGATCTTAAAGATACAATTGCAATTTATATAAATGATAATGACACACACTCTCTCTCTCTCTCTGTGTGTGTGTGTGTGTATATATATATATATATATATATATATATATATATATATATTCTTTTTTTTAAAATAAACTTGGAAAAGAAAACTTGCCCATGGAATGGGAATAAGTGGGGAAAGAAAGAAAGAACCAGAAGAGAAAGAAATTTGCACTTAGAAAGCTGAAGGCTTTGGGGGAACTAGGGATTTGGAGTTTGCTCTAATTGCCTGCTTATTCCTTCATTATGGTTGAAGGGCTCTGGTAATTCACCAGTATTAAATATTCAAGACCTGGTCTGGAGGAAACGTTCTTTAGGGATTGCTCTCATCACTTCAGCACCGATTGAGAATTCAGCTCTGTGCCTGCCTGTGTTTGCCTATAAAGCAGCACTTTTCCTTTTCCTCCCTTAAAAAACCCCCCACCTGACTCGCTCCCATAAAGGGCTTCAAGCACTGTAGTAATGTGAGATTATTTGGCTAATTAATGGTTGTGAATCTTTTTGGAACACTTAATTTTGTTGATATGTTTGAGATAGAGGGAGTAAGAGTTTTGTAAAGATAATGGCGCTTTTCTGTCCATCAGCACACACAG